GGTCACACTCAATAGTGTTTAGTAAGATATGTGTGTGCAAGGAGAACAAGAACACTTGAGGGCAAGGTAGAGCCACACAGCTCCTGCAAAATAATGCAGTGACAAAGCAGGCTAGCACCAGGACATTCAAGAAGATGCATTTAGTGCAGGCTAGGAACAGAACAGATGCTCAATCAACAATGAGACAGCAATAGCAAGACACATCAATTTTGCAAATAAGTAGAAAAATAGTCTGCAAAGAATGCTTGCTTTGCCCTGGCCGGTTTGGCTCAGCGGTTGGAGCATCAGCCTGTGAGTCCCGGGTTCGGTTTCTGCTAGGGGCATGTACCAAAAAAAAAAAAAAGAATGCTTACCTCCACTTACTTTACCCACACAAGGTGGTGAGCTCTTTGGGGGCAAGGTGTGTCACTTTTTACTGTCAGAGACTATCATAGAGCCTGGTACACAGCAGGAAGTGAATGAATGCTGAATGGGTAAATGTAAAACTTAACAGCATTCTACAAAAGCAAGTCTATAACACCTTAAACTCCTGAGGCCAGATGTTTCAGAATAAATAATTTTTCAGATTTTAGACCGATAATAATGATGCATATTATATGCCATTCATAATCAAACATACTACAGAGAATGGAAGGATAATCATACTACATGGAATAAATTAAATCCACAAACAGTTTCACATAAGTTAAGGTCAAGTTTAGCTGCCAAATAAATGTTAACTTACAAGAAAACCCCTCTGGCCTGTCCAGTGTGGCTCAGTGGAATGCGCATTGTCCCATGGACTGAGAGGACCCAGTTCGATTCCTGGTCAGGGCACATGCCTGGGCTGTGGGCTCAATCCCCAGTAGGGGGTCTGCATGAGGTAGCTGATGGATGTTTCCCTTTCACATTGATGTTTCTCTCTCTCTCTAAACAATCCATACAAACATTTGAAAAAACCCTCTGGATTTCACAATGGTAGATAAAGGTCTGCTAACTTTCACTTATTCACTGGGCAACTATTTAGTGGAGCTCATAGTCTATGTGGCATTCACTGGTGGAAATTCAAAAATATTAAAATAGAGAAGACAAGTTAAAACAGAAATAATAAACTGAGAAAGAATAACTGGAATCCTGGAAGGAAGGCAAGCTCACAGGGGATGCAGATCTATAATCAGTTAGGTTACAATTCAGTGTGATAAGGTCCAAAACAAGAAGGAATGACAGAGGATTGAAAAAACAATATCTTGCTAGGCTGGTGTGGCTCAGTGGTTGAGCATCGACCCATGCACCAAGAGGTCACCAGTTTGATTCCTGGCCAGGGCACATGCCCAGGTTGTGAGCCAAATCCCAAGGGGGGGACATGCAAGAAGTGCCCAATTGATGTTCTCTGTCATCGATGTTTCTCTCTCTCCCCCTCTCCCTTCCTCTCTCTCTAAAAATCAATAAAATAAAAATAAAAATAAAGGAAAAGAAACTGGGAGTTTGTGAGCAGGCTAAGTTCATTGTAAAGAATGAGAAATTTGTTAAGACAAAATCAGGCATTCCTGGCTGGTTTGGCTCAGCGGTCAGAGCGTCAGCCCGCAGACCAGAGTCCCAGGTTCGGTTCCCGCTAAGGACATGTACCCTGGTTGCAGTTTGTCCCTGGCCCTGGTTAGGGTCATGTGGGTGGCAGCCAGTCGATGTGTCTCACATCGATGTTTTTCTCTCTCTCTTCCTTCCTCTATCCCTCTACTCTATCTGAAAATAAAGGCAAAACAAATGTCCTCAGGTGAGGATAAAAAAAACTTTTTTTTAAAAACAAAACCAGGCAAAGAGAAAAACTCAAGCACATGATGGTGTGAAAGAGCAGCTTATGTGTCGTCACCTGCTGTAATTTCAAGCTAAGCAGATGAACTTTCAGAATTCTGCCTTACCTACAGGCTCTAAACATATTCTTCAAGCTTCCCAATAAATGAATCAGATGAAAGAACTCTATATTATAAAAAATGACAGTTCATATGCTTCAGACACTTATCTGAGAGAACACCACATAGAAGAAAACCCATCAGAGCAGTGGTTCCCAATGTGTGCTCTTCTGATTAGCAGCATCACCTGAACATTTATTAAAAATACAAATTCTTGGGCCAACCCAGATTTACACAATCAGAAACTCTGGAGGTGGGACCCAGTGTTTTAACAAGCTTTCCAAGTGATTCTGATGCATGCTAAAATTGGTAACTCCTGATCTATAATAAACCCTTCTTACAGGGTGATTCTGGTCAGTAGCCTGCTAAGAATAGTTGGGTTGTTAACTGATAAATTAAAGCCATCTTTGTTATACGCTATTTGGTTTTAAAGAAAGATGACTGGATTGATAGAGCAAAAGAGGGTTTTGAGGGCCTTAGTATATATAGTACCTCAACTACCTTGGGGTGAAGTTCAGACTAATTGAAGGAAAGCTGACAGACATAACTGTTGGCCTGGGGAAATATGATCAATTCAGAAACACTATTCTGGCAAGAAAAGAGACCTCTATTAAAAAATGGCTTTCGGCACCTGCCTCCTTTGTTTAGTTTTGGAAGAAAGGAAGCCAAGACAGTGAAGAAAGAGACTTAAAATTCAGGTTCCTTAGAGTTATCATTAAATACTGATCACCCATCAAATTAGTCTCATTAGGGCAAAAGATGGCTTCTTAAACTTTTTCAGATTTTATAAGCAACAACAGTGGAGACAAAATTGAAATGGTTATGGAAACACAAACCAGAAATTAAATAACGGACCCTGTACATACACATTTCAATTAATAGTCCCTTTTTTTAATGTCAATTTATTTTTCTACCCAAGTCAGGGTCAGTGATATACAAAAAGGTATAAACAGATTACCATATTTACAGGAAGACATACAAAACAACTACCAAGGAACAAATTCAGCAAAGTAACAAACTGTGGCTTATCCAGGTCCACTGAACAATATGATGTTTATCCTAGGACAGTTTCACCATTCCTAGGAAACCTAGGACAGTTTCATCTGGGAAAGAAGTTATGTGGATTTATAGCTTCCATAAGGGTCAAACAAACATTACAAGAGCTGATAGAATCATGTTTTATACTGACAGTAAGAGAAAAGCTTTTAAAGAACACTCTAATTTTCAGGCCAAAGTTAGAGCACCAGTGGGCTCATAACCAAGATGTGACTTCATCAAAGGAAATGCTTCTCTCCTCTTGGCTTTTCTGAGATCCTCCTCCTTGTAAACAGGAGAAGGAGCTCTTTTTAATAACAGGTGATTGAGCCACACCCTCCCCCAACAGATGGTGTGGAGATTATCAACACACAGTGGGGAAAGGGAACTGATTCCCTTACCAACTAAATACAATCTAGATTTGGGAAGACAGTTTCCAAATCCCACAAGCAAACTTTATGTGACCCATAGTTTGTACAAAGCACATTCTCTCTGGAGAGAAAACAGGAATGAACACCTCAAAAATTTTCACATTGCTCATCAAGTATCCTGTTGCCCAAAATATTTGGGAAATGGCAAAAACCTAAACTCAGCCAGACATTTTATAAGAGTTTAAAGGAATCATCCCATCATCAGTCTCAGGAATCAAATGGGTTAAATACCACAATTCTTTAATGGAAGCAGAAGGTTAAGAGTCCTTTTCTCTCAAAATGCCTCAGCCAGGGGGAGCACAGAGAACGGAATACAAAAAAGCTCAATGGCTTACAAACATAAAACTCAACAGTTCTCTGTCAACCTAGCCACAATTTTCTGGCCATCTGTAAGTAACTACCACATTCAAAATTCAACTTTCACATTCAAAAAAAGAGATCAACTCCACTTCAGGGGGAAAAAAAAAAAGCAATGGCAATAGTCTAAATCCTCCAAACACTTTACAATCAGGGAACTGTATCAGAAAGACACTTTACAGGTCAGCAGGATTCATTTATAATTTGGCACATGCTCGCTGAAGGGGCAACAAATTGAGGGAATAAAAATATAACACATCAAGTAATCAGACAAATTGTATACATATATACCACATTAATAAAGATTCATATACAGTACTGTGTTGACTAAAGAAAAAATTTTGGGACTCTAGAGGGGAAAGATAATAGGAAAAAAATGACAAGGAAGTATTTCAGTCCAAAGTTAGTCCAGTGACCATCTACTAGTAGGATTTCCAATCTTTCATCTCCAAAGAAGTTAAGCAAATAAATTATAAAATTACCTCGCTCACTTTTGGGACATACAACATGCTCCCAAGTAATTCCTCTGACGTCTTGGTCTCACTTGCTATTTGATGACTAAGTTGTTTTTGGCTGTAAAGATTTTCCTAATATATTTTAATTAGCCAGTTAACACAGCGAAGACTGCTCCCTCTGAGGCCAAAAAAGCTTCAAAAATAATTTCATCTAATGAAGATGAAGGGTGGGAAAAAGGGAAAGTTTCCTGGTTTTTCTTGCAAAACTTTTTCTCTCACTTGAAAAATACAATCACTTAATGTTTTTGTTCCAGAAAAAGAAAGTGAAACTAGTTGGGAAAATAGTCATACATTTATTGTTTACTAGCACGATACAAAATAAATTCATAGATGTCAGTCGATTGTCTTTCAAAAACCAAATGTGAATGTTTAATCTTGTAACTTAAGAACTAAACTTTTCCACATTCCTTTATATAGAGTTAGCATCTGTAAATTGAGACTTTTTTTGGACAATCATGCAAATTTAATTTGTCTCTGGAAACAAAAACACAACCTAACAGATTAACAAAATATGTCCTTTAGACAGTATTTTTTCTGTGAACTTTTCTCCAGTGTTACCATTTTTATCCTTTAGTAAACAGAAACAACTCTAAAAAAGTTTATGTATTTCAGTTTGCAGAGAGCTAAACTCTCAGAATGAGGAAAGAAGACTGGGTCAAGTCAACCTATTTTACCTTCTGAACTGGCTCTACTCCTCTCAAAAGTAAATTCTCAAAATTTTCTAATTATTATTAAGCTATATAAGCGAGAGAGACATTTCTACTGCCATAGATGCATCTGTGAAATTGAATGTTTTATTATACCACACACACAATAAGCAACTGGTACAGAAAAGGCCGTTTTCAGTTATTCTGTTGAGAATTTCTTTCCATGATTTCTCCCATTAAAGTATAGTTTTCAAAGCAACCACCACGACAAAGGAAGCATCTAATTAGTCCATTTTCTTCTGATCCAAGAATGCTGAACATTTACTGTCCCATCTGTAGTTGTATCAGCAGTGTAATGAACACAGTTTATATTACTTAACTATTCTTTGAACTCCAAGAACTGTTGAAGTCTTTTCTGATGTTCTGCAGATGCTTGCACAGCACTAAATGAAACATAAATTCAAAGCATAAGCTTTATTTTACATTAAGCATATTAAGTGAACCACAGAGCACAGAGTCAATATTTTTCAAAACAATTAAAAATGAAGAGAAATCTTCACTTATTTAGTACTTCTGAAAAAGCTGGATGAAAATTCTCCTTAATCTAATGAGGAGGAGGGCTTGCATTCAGTAATGGCATGCTTCCACCTTCTAAAAGACCAAAGCAAATGAAGACTGACAAGTGAAGGCATCGATTTTAACCTGCTCTGCTGCGGAACCTGCTGTGCAGAGTTCCAGGCCTTAAAGATTTTCTGGATTTTATTATTTTATTTAAACCAGATTCCAACATTATCTTTGAGTTGTGGAGTATTTGAATTGCCTTTAATATAAAATCCTTTAAACTAAAATGTTTGGTTAAAACATAATAGACTCCACTAATCGTTTTCAAAGGTAACAGCTTGGTGGTTTAGATTTCCTTTTGCCTTTGAAAATAAATTCTGTCTTGGATGGGGAAATTGAGTTCTCTCCCAACCCTCGCCCCCACAAAAATACATTACCTTGAACAAGTTAGGGCAAATACATCCTAAAACTAGTATAAAACTTCCAGACAAAAAGTGAATACAGTGAAAGATTCTGGTTTTCTAGTTGTTGAATAATAATATATCATTACTGAATGATAAAATTCCAGTAACTGAAGGTCACCACTTTTAAAAGTGCCAAAGAATCGCCCTGGCCGGTTTGGTTCAGCGGTTAGAGCGTCGGTCCAGAAAGACCCAAGTTCAGTTCCCGCTAGGGGCACATGCCTCGGTTGCAGTTTGTCCCCGGCCCTGGTTGGTCGTGCGGGTGGCAGCCACTCGATGTGTCCCTTTCACGTTGATGTTTCTCTCTTTCCCTCTCTTCCTCTCTCCCTCCCACTCTATCTGAACAAAAAAAAAAAATGGAAAAAATGTCCTCAGGTGAGGATAAAAAAAAAAAAAAAAGTGCCGAAGAATCTTACTATAACAATTTTGCTACAAATCATTTTAAAGTCCTTATACATACACATCTCTGTTTTCTTAAACCATGTAGCTGCCTCTAATCGAACCATTTCAAGTATGTTACTGTGCAGATTCCCACCTCGGGGCTAGTGAGGCTGTCACCTCTAACTAAATGGCTCTGAACTCTCTCAAACACCAAGTCTGCAGCTTTTCCATGAATTTTCTCTCTGCTTGTAGGCACTGCACTATCTCTCACTACTGTCAGTACTCCCAACTCTAATATCTGTCTCTTCCTTCCAAATTTTAACATGTTACTGGCTAGAAAACTAATAAATCAAATTTACTTCATTTAAACCTGGTTCTCAGAGGCGGGGCTTTGAATAATGAATCAATTAGATATTATACAGTAATAATAGATTTCCAAATAACGTAACATACAGTGTGGGCTTTATATATGTATGATCCCATTTCATCTCTCCATTAACAACAAATGGAACAAAGTGGGATGAATAACATACCCTTTTCATGGGAGAGTAAACTGTAGCAGAAAGGTTCAAAGGTTGGAGAAGACAACACAACCTACTGATTAGGAGTATAGACACTGTAGATAGAACTCTCAGGTCAGAAAGGTTAGATAGAGTCTGAATTCTGCCTCTGCAACTTACTACCTGCAAAATTGTGAGCAAGTTACTTAAATCATTAGGTAACTTGCCCACAACCACAGATAGTCAATGATGTAATCAGACATAAACCTAAATATTTTAACTCTAACAGTTTTCCACCATACCATTCTGTCCTATATTTGTACAAAATAATCTCTACTGACCTCATCAATTTTAATGCACATGTAAACTCTGGCTCTTCTCAGAGAAAAGAAGCTAAGGCAGTTCTCATAATTTTTATCAGTCATCTATCTCCCTTTCTTTCTATTTTTCCCTTTTCTCCCTGTTTTGCACTATCATCAATAGACACAGTATCTATTTCATTGTCTAAATTCTTCGGTGTTTTCTGAGAATATTCTCCATGGCAATTTACATCTCAGAGGCAGTCTAGTGGTGTACAGGGAAAGGAGGTAGAATTTTAGAAGCAAGAAAGACCTGATTTCAGGTTCATATTCTAACGCTCACTTGATTGTGCTGCTAAACAAGTTCTTAATCTCTGAGCTTCAGTTTCCATATCTGTACAATTATGATAATCTCTAGACCTCACAGGCTCTTTGAAAAGAGTAAATGGCCCTGGATGGTTTGGCTCAGCGGTTAGAGTGTCAGCCTGCGGTCCAGAGAGACCCGGGTTTGGTTTCCGCTAAGGGCACGTACCTCAGTTGCAGTTTGTCCCCGGCCCTGGTTGGTCGTGCGGGTGGCAGCCACTCGATGTGTCCCTTTCACATCGATGTTTCTCTCTCCCTGTCTCTCCCTCCCACTCTATCTGAACAAAAAATGGAAAAATGTCCTCGGGTGAGGATAAAAATAATTTTTTTTTAAAAAGAGTAAATGAAAAAAACATATACATACTGAGTGTAAGTGTATTGTCTAGGAAAGCACTGTCCAACAGAACTTTCTGCAGCGATGAAAATGTTTTGTATCAAAACTATCCAATACAGTAGCCATTGGTCATATGTAGTTATTGAGAATGTGAAATGAGGCCAGTGTGACTAAAAAAGTGGATTTTAAATTTTATTTACCTTTAATTAATTAAACTACCCATACATGGCTATGGAGAGCACAGATGTAGGAGGCACTCAATAATAATTTTGTTTCTTTTTAAACAAGTAAATAAACCTCCTAAGGATAGAGAATTATCAACAGCTCTTTTGTATTCCCACTTAGGATCAAAGTGTTCTGTAAAACTTGCCATTGTTGCTGCCTAGTTTTATGGAAGTAAAACAAAATATATTTCTGTTTCTAAAAGCAAGTATATGAAGTTCTAAACTTTTAACTGATTACATACAGAAAAAGCAGAGTAATCTCTTGTCTTCTAAAGTTCATTTATGATTATGATAAAGCACAGTTTATTTAATGAACTAGTATCCCTTATCCTGCCTAAATTATTTCATAAGAAAAAAGCAGTAAACATCAATGAAACTAAATATAAACAGGTTTGGCATTTGTGGTTTTCCTTCTGGCTCTGTGTCTGAAGGTGAGATCTGTCACTGTTTTTCCAGCATGATTCACAAAGCACCCAGGACTCATTTATGGAATACTCTGCTCAACCCAAGTCTTAGTTTGCTAACCAAGATGCAACAACAGAATTTTTTTTTTTTGCCTTTTTTTCTCCCTGAAGGATGTTTTGGTAATTTAAAAAAAACAATATGTAATTACACTTGCTGCTTTTATAACTTTCTATCCCCTTTTTTTGTCCATTTGAAAGAAGGCCCCAAAGCATATATGATAGGCCAAATTTTAAAATATAGTCTAAATCCAAGCTGTTAATTCCCAGTAGGAATCATGAAGGTCCTTAAAGAATACATTCAACGTGTGGGCCTTTATAATTTTCATACCTATTTCTCAGGAAAACTCCTGAAAATGGACCATCATTAGGGATCAAAACAGGTAAACTTACTTCAGATGTTCACCAAATGTAGTAGTTATTCGATAGATGGCAGTTTTTAGTGATGCTCTAAATGCGAATCTTAATGTTTTATAGGAAGTGTCCACAAGGGTTCCTGAAATTCGAGGTGGTTTACTGGAAGCATGAGGAAGCTTGAAGTATTTGTCAACTGCCTAGATCAAAGAAAGAAAACACATTACAGCAGATTACCAAGAAGGCCAACTGAGTCCAAAGGATTTAAGGAGATTTTACTTCAGATAGACAGACAGACACTATATCATATTTATTTTGGATCACAAACCATTTGAAAACCAGTGCAGAAGAGGTTCAGCCATTTCAGAAGTTACCTGGAAAAAGTCCTTTCCTCAAAAAAAAAAAGAAGCTGTACTTCCCAACCCCTTAAAAATGCAAAGCTGAAAAATGAAACAGACATCCTACTATGCTTATTGTGACAGTACGAGTCCTTATTTAAAAACTCAGAAAAGCCATGGCCAGTTGGCTCAACAGAGTGGTTCTCAACCTTCCTAATGCCGCCACCCTTTCATACAGTTCTGCATGTTGTGGTGACCCCCAACCACAAAATTATTTTTGTTGTTACTTCATAACTGTAATTTTGCTGCTGTTATGTCTTAGGCAACACCACTGAAAGGGTCATTCAACCCCCAAAGGGGTCACAACCCACAGGTTGAGAGCCGCTGGTAGAGCGTCAGCCCGCGGTCCAAAGAGGCTCAGGTTCAGTTCCCGCTAAGGGCACGTACCTTGGTTGTAGTTTGTCCCCGGCCCCTGTTGGGGTCATATGGGTGGCAACCACTCAATGTGTCTCTCTCACGTCACTGTTTCTCTCTCTCTTCATCCTTCTCTCCCTCTTGCTCTATCTGAAGATAAGTGCAAAAAAAAAAATCCCTAGGTGAGGATAAAAAATAATTAAAAAAAAAAAAAGGCCAATACTTTACATAAATAAAAGTCATCTTTTAAACAATCCTTACTTTTCAATTCTAGATAAAACATCTATGAGCAAGAACAGGTGGGGAGGGGACAGAATTCAAAAGTGAAAGTGATTTTATTTATAGCTGACAGATTAAGAAACAGAGATTTAAGTAATTCTTTACAGATCAAAGGTAAATAATATCATTTAAAAATGATATGCCCTGGCCCTGGCTGGTTTGGCTCAGCGGTTAGAGAGTCGGCCTGCGGTCCTGAGAGACCCGGGTTCGGTTCCCGCTGAGGGCATGTACCTCGGTTGCGGTTTGTCCCCGGCCCTGGTTGGTTGTGCGGGTGGCAGCCACTCGATGTGTTCCTTTCGCATCGATGTTTCTCTCTCTCTCTGTTCCTCTCTCTCCCTCCCACTCTACCTGAACAAAAAAATGGAAAAATGTCCTCGGGTGAGGATAAAAAAAAAAAAAAATGATATGCCCTGGCCAGTTTTGCTCAGTGGTTAGAGCGTCGGCCTGCGGTTCAGAGAGACCCAGGTTCGGTTCCTGCTAAGGGCACGTACCTCAGTTGCAGTTTGTCCCCGGCCCCGGTTGGGGTCATGTGGGAGGCAGCCATTCAATGTGTTCCTTTCACTTTGATATTTCTCTCTCTCTTCCTCTCTCTCCCTCCCACTCTATCTGACCAAAAAATGGAAAAATGTCCTCAGGTGAGGATAAAAAAAAAAAAAAAGATATAACGACATTAAGAGATGACAAAAGTGAAAATAGAGAAGTGTGTTAATCTGTTACAGCAAGACACTGTCTAAAGTGACAAGAAATAATATAAAGCTTTTATTTATAATAATGGATATAACCACCAAAAATAAATAAATAAAACCAAATTATGATGATCTCTGCCATTAGGTTTTTAATTTCAAGAGCTCTTTTATGTTATCTAGGTGATTTTTTAAATCCTCACCCGAGGATATTTTTCCATTTATCTTCAGATAGAGTGGGGGGGGGTGAGTGGGGGGGAGAGAAACACTGATATGAGAGATACACATCCACTGGTTATCTCCCACACAACCCCAACCAGGGTTGGAATGAACCACAACAGAGGTATGTGCCCTTGACCAGAATCGTGCCCTTGACCAGAATTGAACCCTCAACTCTTCAGTCCAAGGGCTGTCGCTCTAAGGGTGATTTATTTATTTATCCTCACCCAAGGTCATTTTTCCTTTTTTCAGGTCGAGTGGGAGGGAGAGAGGAAGAGAGAAACATCAACATGAAAGGGACACATCAAGTGGCCGCCTCCCGCATGACCCCAACCAGGGCCTGGGGACAAACTGCAACGTGCCCTTAGCGGGAACCGAACCCAGGTCTCTCTGGACCGCAGGCAGATGCTCTAACTGCTGAGCAAAACTGGCCTGGGCTAATGGTGATTTGTTTTAAGTTTAGCATCCTATTTTTGTTTCAAGGATGTAATATTCTCTTATTAGTAAGAATTTTGATAATTTATAATGTTTTGGGGTTTTTTGCTTGTTATAGTTTCTTTCACACAATATTCCCACCCCCGTACCCTCACCCGCCCCCCCCATTGTGTCTTTTGGTCTTTATCTTCTGCATCAGAGACCTTCATCAAAAACCTAGTGACCCTGGCTCATGACTGAGAGTGGGATTTCCTAAAGATAGGAATCAAAGCTCTGAGCACACAGTTGGAGATTATTGACAACAGCCTTCACAATAGGCGAATCTGTGGACTTTTTCAGGGTGAGCACCCAACTCAGTAACTCTAGGTCTTTCTTCTTGGATTGCTCAGAGTTCCCAGACAGGAGTTTTCCAGTACCCGGGTCCCCAGTACTCAGGGAGCCAAGTGGGAAATAGAGCTACTGAGCTTTTAGTACAGTACACACAACTATGTCTGGACTCTCTCAGTCCAGAGACCGTGTTCCATCCTCTCTAGAAGATGAACTTCGACTACTGCTAAAGCAGCAGCAGAGAATCTAGAGATCTACAGTAACTGGTTTTGCAAGACCTCTCACCTATACCTCTTTATTTTGGTACCGGTCTCTTCATCCTTGATTCCAGAGGTACTTGGTGCTTGCCCCAATAACAACTTCAGATTTGCCTTTGGGATCTGCTAAGTCGTTATATTATCTCAACCATTTGCTTTCCAACTATGAAAATTCTGTTGCTGTTGTCTTCTCCTGTTTACGGATTTATGTCTTTTAAAGTCTTTTTACTATAGTTTAGCAGAGTTCGGGGGAAGAAACTTATAAGAGTATTTCTTATAAGAGTATTTCTTATAAGAAATATAAGAGTATTTCTTATAAGAGTATTTCTCAAGGCTGAGACATACCTGAGATCATTTTAGGCATTATAGGAGGTGGTATTCAATGACACACTTAAGGAACATTTAAATAGCACTGAATCACAATAGAAAAGTTACATCCTTTTCAACTTTCTTGCAAACCTTCTGATTAACTCTCAGTATACCAGGAAAAATAGTTGTCATCATTTACCACCGTGGTCCAAAGGACCCTCTTCATAGTTTAAAGTCATTTTACAATTTACAGAAAATGACAGAATAATGTAAAATAATTTTATAAAAATTTATATAAGAATGTAAACAGTTTCCAGTTTTTAAAGATATATATATCTGAAATCGGCAATGTCCTTTGAATGCAACTCATCAGCTAACATGCATAAACCTGGAACATATCTAATCTTGTAATACTGATTTCAAAATGAAAATTTATCATTAACAGGTTCTAGCTTATCATTACTTTTGGTTCTTTTTCTTGCATCTGTACCAGCAAAATGCAATATTTTTAATAACTCTTCACTGCTTATAATTTTGTTGAAGACAGTTCAACAATTCTTTGTACCATAATTGCAAAACATTTCCATTCTTAGGTTTATAAAGACAAATTCAAAAGATTAATCCAGTGACATTTTTCATTTTGCCATCATCCTTCTAATTATCTTTGCATATACCTTTGTATACTATTGGCATTTATCCACCGATGAACTGTATAAAGTAAATTTTGGTGCACATATATCCATAGAAGATGAAGGAATACACTATCACATGTACTTTTTAGCAAAATGGGATGATTCCAGTTCTTATTTATATTGTGAGACAAAGTCCTTCCTATGGAATGACTTACTACATGAGAATATCACATATATTTCCTTTTTCTCTTTAAAAATATATTCTTCTGTCATCAATTCTTGAGTTTTGGAAAACATATCTAGAATGTTATCGTTTGAAGATTTAATCTGAAATTCCTCTTGTATGACCAATTTCACCATCATCATTAAAGTCTATAGCTGTTCTGCCCAATGTGGTGACCACTAAAATACATGTAGCTCTTAAGCACTTGAAATGTGGCTGGTCTGAATTCAGATATTCTGTAAATAAAAAATACACACCAGATTTTGAACACTTACTATAATTTTATATTGATTACATAATAAAATATTTTAGACATACTGATAAATAAAATACATTAATATAAACTTTACTTGTATTTTTTTAATATAACTACTAAAAAATGTAAAGTTACACATGTGTATCACATTATATTTCTATTGAACAGAGGTGGGCTAGAGTGCTGTTAGCTGTCTCTATGCATTCATCTTCTGATTTATCTAAATGACTAAAATTATGAAAATAGTATGTTGTAATAAACAGTTATGGCAAAAACTATTAAGGCAATATATGAATAACTTAATCTAGAAGACACTGGCTTATAATATTTAATGATGTGCTCCATGGTTAGGAAAACTGAAATACTTAATTAGCTATGAGATTAAACGAGTATCTATTGAGCCCCATTTAATGCACTACGCATGGTTCCTGCCCTGAAGACTCAGATCACAGAACTGGGATCACAAATATCTAGTTAAAAATTACCCCAGCCCAGCCAGTGTGGCTCAGTGGTTGAACGTCGACCCATGCACCAAGAGGTCACCAGTTCAATTCCCGACTAGGGCATATGCCCAGGTTGTGGGCTAAATACCCAGTGGGGGACATGCAGGAGGCGGCCAATCGATGTTCTTTCATCAGTGTTTCCATCTCTCCCTCTCTCCCTCTCCCTTCCTCTCTCTCTCAAAAATCAATAAAGAAAAAGAAAAAAGAATTAACCCAAAGAGTAAGCAGTGAGTATAATACACCACTGAATAATATACTCTTTAAGAAAAATAAAAAATTCCATGAAAGCCTTACTTTGGCCCTAATAGGAGTCTAAAGAGGAGCT